ACGGTGGCTTATATCTCTAATCCCAGCACTTTGGGAGGCCAAGGCAGGCAGATTACCTGAGGTCAGGAATTCGAGACCAGCCTGGCCAATATAGTGAAACCCCATCTCTACTAAAAATACAAATATTATCCAGGTATAGTGGTGCAAGAAAGAAGAGGAAACTGTTTTGAAAAGAGGAAAGAAGGTGTGAAGCAGTCACAAAGAAGAGTAGGAAAATTAAGGAACCAGCAAAGTATAGTGTGATTGCCCCAGGGCATTAAATACCCACTCGAAGTTCATGATCATCAATGTAAAGTGAGGGCAGTCAGCATACTTCCTTTAGCTCTAGTTAGCTAAATAGCTGAAGGTACAGAGTAGTAGAGACTTGCATTTTACCAGGAATGGGGTTTTGTCGCCCGAGTATACAATAAGCAAGAGCAGAGAAACTTAAAGCCGATCTTCTGCAAGTTGTAAATACATTTAAAGCTTTCCTTACTCACTGATGCTTTTGAACTTCCTAGTCCTTTTGGGGTTCATCCTGCTTAGTGGTAACAAAAGCCAGTCTTTGTCTACAAGTATGCTTATTTACATTCATCTTTGAATCATAGTTTGGCTGAATCTAGACTTGTAGATTGTCATTTTATCTTAGATTCTAGAAACTAATGCTAGTGTCTGTCCCTAAGGAGAGTGTAATAAAGCTGGTTCCACAAGGTTGAAAAACTGAAAACTGGATTCAACCACTACTGCAGGAAGGAACTTCATCTTCCAGGCTTTCAGACTCCCTCTAGCACGTCCTGTTGGCAGAATTTAACATGGAGCCAGAAACGTAGTTTACAGAGCTGTAAGAATACTCTTTCGGCTACTCAGCTACAATCCTTCTACATATGTTTGAACTTCTATTTATCAACAAAGTAACTCTGTTTTCACCTAATAAGATGCAACTATTTTTCATATAAATGAAGATTTTCTTTCTCAGCCTCTCCACAAAATAAGGAGAAACAAAGTTCTAACAGCCCATCTCTGGGAGACAGTCATACTATCTCTGAGCTATGTTATCTCTGTCTTTGAAGTTTTCATTATAATGTCTTCAAGTTAGACTTCTTTTCATTTTTTCTGCTCAAGACTTGTGATTTCTGAAACTAAAAATTCATGCCTTTCATCAATTCTTGAAAATTCTCAGCCTTTATGTTTAAAATATTTCCTCTTTTCTTTTTCTTTTACTTTTGGAAACTCTCATTATGTATATGATGGACCTTATTCTATCTTTCATTTTTCCATAGTTTCCACTTTTTATATCTTTGTCCTAATTTTTAGAATTTCTCAAATCTCTCTTCCAGTTCACTAATGGAGTCTCTCCAACTCCATCTCACACATCCAGGCACCATGGCTCATGCCATGTGTAATCCCAGCACTTTGGGAGGCCAAGTGCATAATCCCAGCACTTTGGGAGGCCAAGGCAGGTGGATCACGAGGTCAGCAGTTCAAGACTAGCCTGACCAACATGGTGAAACCCTGTCTCTACTAAAAATACAAAAATTAGCTGGACATGGTGATAGTTGCCTGTAATCCCAGCTACTCAGGAAGCTGAGGCAGGAGAATCACTTGAACCTGGGAGGCAGAGGTTGCAGTGAGCCAAGATCACACCACTGCACTCCAGCCTGGGTGACAGAGCAAGACTCCATCTCAAAAAAAAAAAGAAATGCCAATAACATCTTTTTATTTCCAGATATTGTTTTAGATCTTTCACACATTAGCCAGTTCATTTCCTCTATTTCTTATTCTTACGGTTCTATATATGCCCTTTCTTTCTCTTTAATGGGTTTTATTTTATTTATTTATTTATTTATTTATTTGAGGCAGTGTCTCACTGTGTCACCAGGCTGGAGTGCAGTGGCGGGATCTCAACTCACTTAGACCTCTACCTCCTTAGTTCAAATGATTCTTGTGCGTCAGGCACCCAAGTAGCTGGGATTACAGGCATGTACCACCACACCCAATTTTTTTTCTTTAGTAGAGACAGAGTTTCACAGTGTTGGCCAGGCTAGTGTTGAGCTCCTGGCTTCAGGTGATCCACCTGCCTTAGCCTCCCAATGGGCTGGGATTATAGATGTGAGCCACCCTACCCAGCCTCTTTAATGGACTTTAAATATGCCGTGTTTCAAATATGTGTCCCTATCATGTGCCCAAGGACTTATCTCCCTGCTCCTGCTTGGTCATTAAAACCAAAGCAGTTCCCAGATCTGGTCAGATAGTCCACCAGGGTTATCAAATTGAGTACATATCTCAGCACCAGAGGAAGGGGAAGGGAAGGGAAGGGAAGGAAGGAAGGAAGGGAAGGGAAGGAAGGAAGGAAGGAAGGAAGGAAGGAAGGAAGGAAGGAAGGAAGGAAGGAAGGAAGGAAGGAAAAATTGAGTACATATCAACCTGACTCTTAAACCCCTCTCCATCTCCTGAAACCAAAAATTTCTCTTTCCTACAAACTCTGCCATGCATCTACAATTATTTTGTCATTTTTTAAATCCATTTTAGATATTTGTAGCAAGTAGGATGTCCTACTCTATTGTTTTGTTGGAAACAGAATTTGTGTTCATAATTTCTAAGTAGTTTATAGTCTCAGTTTCAACTTCTTTAACTCAGCCGTTATTTATAGTATTTTATTTATAATTTCTGATTAGAGAATATTTCTTAAATCTCTTTCTGTGGTTAATTTTAAATTATAATTAGAGTATAACTGATATACTTTGTGCCTTTGAGTAATTAATTGATATTTAAATTTTTGTCTTAAAACATGATCAATTTTAGCAAAGGTTGCAATAATATTTGCCAAAAAAGTTATAGTCCTGCTTGTTAATTATGATTTTTATTTTTTTGAGACAGATTCTCATGCCATCACCCAGACTGGTGTGCAGTGGCCCAATCTCTGCTCACTGCAATCTTCACCTCCCAGGTTCAAGTGATTCTCCTTCCTCAGCCTCCTGAGTAGCTGGAATTACAAGCACATGCCACCACACCCAGCTAATTTTTGTATTTTAGGTTTTCACCAGGTTGGCCAGGCTAGTCTCAAACTCCTGACATCAAGTGATCTGCCCACCTCAGCCTCCCAAAGTGCTGGGATTACAGGCATGGCCTAATTATGTTTTATATATTGAGAAGTTTAAATGTCAGTTTTACCCCTTCAAAAATTTTGTTTTCTTCACATAGTAAACACTCAGTAATGATCAAGTGAATGAACTCTCTGAAGTTTCAATCAGTAATGTATTTTTCTTTGCTGATGTTCAAGCAATTAAGTAATTCATTCTACATTTAGTTGATTGTTGGCTGTGTGCCAGGCATTATGCTAGATTTTGGGAGAAAGACATGATCCCTGCCTTCCCAAGTTTACAATGTAATTATATAAATGTAAATTCACTTGACATGAAATATATTACAGGGAGTCAGATTTTATTGTCATTTTTAACTTACCCCATAATTCAGGCAAAAGAACAAGAGGGAAAGGGATAGGGAGGACTTAAAAGAAGATAAAGAAAATTTAAAATAGAGGTGTTCTTGCAGTAATCAAATTATTTATATTAACCATGAAACAGCTCCCAAATTATTAAAAACTGTACAATTTCTATTTTACTTATTGTTTTATCATTGTAAGAGATTTTGTTTTACTTAGGTTAAAAGAAAAATTTCTGACCTCCCTTCTTGACCCTAGATAACTGAACAATGCCTGGTGCAGTGGCTCATGCCTGCAACCTTAGCACTTTGGGAGGCTGAGCCAGACAGATTGTTTGAGCCCAGGAGTTCAAGACCAGCCTGGACAACATAGGAAGACCCTATCTCTACAAAAAGTACAAAAAATTAACCCCACATGCTATTGCATGCCTGTAGTCCCAGCTACTCTAAGGGGCTGAGGTGGGAAAATTGCTTAAGCCCAGGAGGTCAAGGCTGCAGTGAGCCATGATCGTGCCACTGTATTCCAGCCAGGATGGCAGAGTGAGAACTTGTCTGAAAATAAATAAATAAATAAATAAATAAATAGCTAAGCAAGCTTTTATTGTGCTTTGCTCTTCTCCCAGCAACTGAGGATTATATATATATACACACACACACACACACACACACACACACACACACACATATTATGCATGCATATATATATGTGTGTGTGTGTATATATATTATGTATATATATATATATATATATGGATTAAATGCAGGAAACATAAGATTTCCACTAGTTATATATACAAACACAGGTACATATGTATGATATATAGCATTATATTATATATAGTTATAATGTTAAATAATCATAATTACATCTATTATGTTAATATAATTACATATAATATATATAATTTGATATAGTTTGGCTGTATCCCTACCCAAATCTCAACTTGAATTGCATCTCTCAGAATTCCCACATGTTGTGGGAGGGAACCAGGGGGTGATAATTGAATCATAGTGCCCAGTCTTTCCCATGATATTCTCATGACAGTGAATAAGTCTCAGAAGATGAGATGCGATTATCAGGGTTTTTGCTTTTGCTTCTTCCTCATTTTCTCTTGCCACCACCACATAAAAAGTGCCTGTTGCCTCCCACCATGATTATGAGGCCTCCCCAGCCATGTGGAACTGTAAGTCCAATTAAACCTCTTTTTCTTCCCAGTCTCAGGTATGTCTTTATCAGCAGCTTGAAAATGGACTAATACATAATTATAATATCATAATATAAAATATGACATAATTTTTTTTTGGAGACAGTTTTGCTCTTGTTACCCAGGCTGGAGTGCCATGGCACGGTCTCGGCTCACCACACCTCCACCTCCTGGGTTCAGGCAATTCTCCTGCCTCAGCCTCCTGAGTAGCTGGGATTGCAGGCACGCACCACCATGCCCAGCTAATTTTTTGTATTTTTAGTACCTGAGGAGGATGGATCACAGGTCAAGAGATCGAGACCATCCTGGTCAACATGGTGAAAATATGACATAATTTTTATATTCTCACTTATGACTATTTATCTCCCTCTAAAGGAGAGAAGATTCCTGCTGGGGATGTGAAAAATACTGTGGAAAACATGGGAATAGAGATCACAAATAAAGAGCACAAAAAGCTACTGAAAACTCTGCCAGTTTCTGGTAAGCATTTACATGTGTTCTGCTTCACTGATGTCTAAAAATATATTCATTCAACATTTATTGAAGATCATTGTCTGCATGGCACTATCTAAAATCCAAGAAAGCAGGGACCATGTCTGTTTCCCCAAGTACTTACCCTCCTGAAAACATCAAAGAGGTTGGTTTCAATGTTTTGTATTAGAAAGTCTAGTATTTGAAACAGTTGTGTCAATTAAAAATATTTTTTAAAAGTCCCAGTCCCAGCATTTCTAAGAATCCTGTTATTATTATGTTGGTTTAGGAAACAGGAACCTCTTCAGTTAAAAATTCTACCATAAGACAATTTATTTGGTCCCCCTAGGAGAAATATAAGACTTAAGGTATAAATTGAAAAAAGGTAAGAGCAGAAGGTGTAGAAAAGGTGAAGAAAGAAAAGACAAAGGTAAGTTAGAGAGGAGGAAACAAGAAAGAAAAGGCTATATGTAGTTCAGCATGGTAGGGCACTATTTTGTATTCTATCCAGTGGATAGGTTTACTACACTAAGTTTTCCAAGCATCTTTCATTTCATTGAGATTGAATTCTAACAAATTTCTAAACTTTCCCTTCCTGTGAGTATATATTTTATTTTTTATGAATCTCTAGAAACATTATTAATCATGTTTTATCCTACAGCTGATAAAAAGGTGTTTAAGAAAGAATTATTGGATGGTGTGAAATCCTTCAGAGGTGAGTGAGGAAAAGGATAAGGACAATAACATTTGAGATTATTCTAATTTTTTTCTAATTACATAAACAAAATTATCTATTTTATTCAACAAATATTCAAGTGTCTGCTAGGTACTGGGCATTTAAGAATAATCTGGAATATACAGTAGCATACAGAAAAAAATGTAATTACCCATAATCTCGAGTAATATTACCTTTTCTATTATAGATATCTCTGATCTTTTTCTGTGCATATATGTGTTTTATTAATTAAACTCTTACTGGAAATGTTATGTATCCTGCATTTAATCCTAAAATTTTAGTGTAATAATTTCACTATGTTATTTAAAATTTCTTTGTAAATATCATTTTAATGACTATATCATCTAGTTGTATTATAATTTACTTAATCATTATTCTCTTGTTGAACATTTATTTAGTGTTTTTCTCTTATATGTCTCTGATCTTCATGCTTAAATTTTGATACAACTTTAAAGTCATTTTCTTTGGACATATTCTTCCAGCAGAAATTTGCATCCCCATACACAGTATTAACATCATGCCCTAACCACAGTATATTATTTTCATATATTTTATTCTTGTTAATTTGGTGAATGAAAAAGTTGAATCTAATTCTTGTTCTGATTTTTTTGTTATGAATAAAGTTGAAAATGTTTTTATATTGGTGATACATGCCTGTGGTCTCAACTACTCAGGAGGCTTAGGCAGGAGAATCACTTGAGCCCAGGAGTTTGAGGCTGCAGTGAACATGGATTGCAGAGTCAGACCCTGTCTCAAAAAATATATTAAAATAAAAACAATTTTTAAATCAGCTTTATTTTGTTGCATTAGTCCATTTTCATGATGCTGATAAAGATATATCTGAGACTGGGCAATTTAGAAAAGAAAGAGGCTTCGTGGACTTACAGTTCCACATGACTGCGGAGGCCTCACAATCATGTTGGAAGGCAAGGAGGAGCAAGTCACATCTTACATGGATGGTAGCAGGCAAAGAGAGAGAGCTTGTACAGGGAAACTCCCCCTTATAAAACCAACAGATTGTGAGTCTTATTTACTATCACAAGAACAGCATGAGAAAGACCTGGCCCCATGATTCAGTTACTTCCCACCAGGTTCCTCCCACAATAATGGGAGTTCAACAGGAAATTTGAGTGGGGACACAGCCAAACCGTATCCATTGTTTTATATTTAAATTATGGAATTCTCACAAGGATAGCAGTTGTTTACTCTTTAATGGAAAACAAAGCTTATATTGAGGATTTTTTCATTCATCAAATATTAGCTTGGAATTGATGACTGGCATAGTGTTAGAAGTGTGATGGGGGAGGGACTGCAAAAAGCAGAAGATAGTTTTTACTTTTTTTTTTTTAGAGGGAGTTTCACTCTTGTTGTCCAGGTAAAGTACAATGGCTTGATCTTGGCTCACCACAACCTCCACCTCCCAGGTTCAAGCGATTCTCCTGCCTCATCCTCCCAAGTAGCTGGGATTACAAGCATATGCCACCATGGCTCGTTTTGCATTTTTAGTAGAGGCAGTGTTTCTTCATGTTGGTCAGGCTGGTCTAGAACTCCCAACCTCAGGTGATCTGCCTTCCTCGGCCTTCCAAAGTGCTGGGATTACTGGCATAAGCCACTGCACCCAGCCAATAATTCTTACTTTCAAAGAGTTTATGATCTACTTAGAGAACAAAATGTATACATAAAATTACTCATAGAAAATTTTTATCAGCACCATAAGACAGAGCAAGAATAAAATTTAAACCAGGTGCAGAATAAAATTTAAACCAGGCTCATGCCTCTAATCCCAGCACTTTGGGAAGCCAAGGTAGGTAGATCACGAGGTCAGGAGTTCAAGACCAGCCTCTGGTGAAACCCCATCTCTACCAAAAATACAAAAATTAGCCAGGTGTGGTGGCATGCACCTGTAGTTCTAGCTACTCAGGAGGCTGAGGCAGGAAAATCGCTAGAACCCAGAGGCAGAGGTTGCAGTGAGCCAAGATCACGCCCACTCCAGCTTGGGCGACAGATGAGAATTCATCTCAGAAAAAAAAAATTTTTTTTAATAAATTAAAAAGTGTTTTCAAAAGAGAAAATATTTTTATATCATTATATCTTTTAATCTATTAGAATCTAAACATTGTTTTTATTAATTGGAATGACCTCTTTATAGATTAAATATTAGCACATTGTCATATCTATTGTAAATATTGGTTATCTGCATTTTATTTTACTGTATTTTTACAACAGCTTTATTGAGATATAGTTCATATACCGTATGATTCACCCACTTAAAGTGTATAATTCAGTGGGTTTTAGTATACTAACAGAGTTGTGTGGTATTACCACAATCAGTTTTAGGATATTTCAGCACTGCAAAAAGAAACTCAATACCCATTAGTAGTCACTACTTATACTCCCCAACTCTCTCAGACCTAGGCAACTACAAATGTACTTTTTATCTATTATGTTGTATTTTGATATATGACCATTTTTCATTTTTATGTATTTACTTTTACCAGTCATTTCTTCTGTGATTAACTTTCAAATCCTTCACCAGCCAGCCAGTACGTGAAGAGTCACATATACTTAGTTCTCTTCTTTTTTCCATGATTTCACTATTTACATTTAATTTATCCAAAATATATTTTGATTCTTTTTAAATCCCCATATTTCAGAGTGATTCGATCAAAACTACATCAATAGTTTTCAGTAAATTTTCCCCATTAACTGTAGTCTTCCTTTATGTACAATTATACTTGGGAGATAATTTATTATTAATATAGCAAGTTTCAAATCTTGCTTTTTGACAGAATAAAATGATTCGGTTATCATCTCTGTCTAATTCATCAGAAATGCCAAACTCTTTACTTCTCCCCAATATAAACCTCCAAGAAGTTTAATTTTGGAAGCATATTCTGTTCCTGACTCCCACATGATGCTGTAAATAGCTTCTTTCTTCTTTTCATTTCTGAGTAGGGGTTGAGAGTGTGCACTTTTCATTTTATGACATCCTTATCTACTTTTTCTTGTTTCTATCAAGGAGGTCAGGTTAATTTCAATGACTTACAGAGTGTTCTACAAAACACTGGGTTCAGACTCGAAGAAAAAGAAATCAAGGACTTGAAGACTCACCTGCCAGTGACTGGTGAGAATTTAAGACACCTTTATCCTGTAGATAATGACTAGTCCTCTGTGAAAGCAAAGAGTAAGGACATGTTGGAGAGAGAAAACTTGGGGACAGAGTTACAATTTAAGAGACTGTTAATAAGGTACAGGCGAAAAGGGCCTTACCCGGGAACCACACATATATGGGGAAGACTGATTTGATGTGGGTGAAAGGGAGGGAGATACTAAACTGTGAACCAGAAGTTTATCACTTACATGAATGGAAAAAACAGTTTTTAAAAACAGGGAGAAGGATAGCAGAGGGAGAAGAATGAAGAGAAGAAAAATCTTTGGAATATAGTTGAATTGAGGTGCTTATGGGACACTCAGTATCAGATAATTGAAAATGCATTCCCTAATTATTAGTTATTCATCTTTAAATAAGGTATATCAAACCATGAGAATCGTCACCAGGGTTAAAACAGTGTCTCAGAGTGTCTCTATGAGGACAAGAATACCAAAAGAGTGGAAAGATAAAATAAAGGAATATTTGAGAGGTAAAGAATAGGATAAAAGAGTAGGATAAGGAAGAAAGAGATAACAGAGATGAGGGGAGGGTAAGAGAAAAGAAAAAGGATAGGAAGAGATGATGAAAAGATATATCCATCAGGATATAAACCAACCTCCTTTTTTCAATATTTGTATATATAAATTTTTATTATTTCAATAGTTTTGGGGGAACAGGTGATATTTGGTTACATGGATAAGTTCTTTAGTGGTGATTTCTGAGATTTTAGTCCACCCATTACCCGAGCAATGTACACTGTATCCAATGTGTAGTCTTATCCCTCACCCCCTTTCTAACCTTCTCCCTGAGTCCCCAGAGTCCATTATATCGTTCTTATGCCTTTGCATCCTCTTAGGTCGGCTCCCACTTATAAATGAGAACATACAATGATCGATTTTCCATTCCTGAGTTACTTCACTTAGAGTAATGGTCTCCAACTCAACCCAGGTTGCTGTGAATGCCATTATTTCATCCTTTTTATGGCTGAGTAGTATTCCATAGTATATATATGCCAGATTATCTTTATCCACTTCTTGGTTGATGGGCAGTTAGGCTGGTTCCACATTTTTGCAATTGCAAATTGTGCTGCTATAAACATGCATGTTCATGTATCTTTCTCATATAATGATTTCTTTTCCTCTGGGTAGATACCCAGTAGTGGGATTATTAGATCAAATGGTGGGTCTACTTTTAGTTCTTTATGGAGTCTCCATACTGTTTTCCATAGTGGTTATACTAGTTTTCATTCCCACCAGCAGTGTAAAAGTGTTCTCTTTTTATCACATCCACACAAACATCTATTTATTTTTTATTTTTTAATTTTGGCCATTCTCACATGAGTAATGTGGTATCACATTGAGGTTTTCATTTGCATTTCCCTGATCATTAGTGATGCTGAGCGTTTTTTCATATATTTGTTGGCCATTTGTATATCTTCTTTTGAAAATTAAGTATTCATGTCCTTTGACCACTTGTTGATGGGATTATTTGGGGATTTTTTCTTGCTGATTTATTTGAGTTCCTTATAGATTCTGGATAGTAGGCCTTTGTTGCAAAGATTTTCTCCCACTCTGTGAGTTGTATCATTTCTCTTGCTGTGCAGAAGCTTTTCAGTTTAATTAAATCTCATCTATTTATCTTTCTTTTCATTGCATTTGTTTTTAGGTTCTTGATCATAAAGTCTTTCCCTAAGCCAATGTCTAGAAGAGTTTTTCCGATGTCATCTTCTAGATTTTTATGGATTCAGGTCTTAGATTTAAGTCTTTGATCCATCTTGAGTTGATTTTTTAATAAGGTGAGAGATAAGGACCCAGTTTTATTCCCCTACATGTAGTTTGTCAATTTTCATAGCACCATTTGTTGAATAGGGTGTCCTTTCCTCACTTTATGTTTTTTGTTTTGGTTTGGTTTTTTGTAAAGATGGGATTTTACCATGTTGGCCAGACTCCTGGCTTCAAGTGATCTCCCTGCCTTGGCCTCCTAAAGTGCTGGGATTACAGTGTGAGCCACCATGCCTGACCTCTCACTTTATGTTTTTGTTTGCTTTGTTGAAGATCAGTTGGTTGCAAGTATTTGGGTTTATTTCTGGGTTCTCTATTCTATTCCATTGGTCTACATGACGATGTTTATATCAGTACCATGCTGTTTTGGGGTCTATGGCCTTATAGTATAGTTTGAAATCAGGTAATGTGATGCCTCGAGATTTGTTATTTTGCTTAGTCTTTCTTTGGCTATGCACACTCTTTTTTGGTTCCATATGAATTTTAGGATTTTTTTTCCTAGTTCTGTGAAGAATGATGGTGTTATTTTGATAGGAATTGCATTTAATTTGCAGATTGCTTTTGGAAGTGTGGTCATTTTCACAATATTGAATGTACCCATCCATGAGCATGGGATGAATTTCCATTTGTTTGTATCTTCTATCATTTCTTTCAACAGTGTTTTGTAGTTTTCCTTGTAGAGTTCTTTAACCTCCTTGGTTAGGTATATTCCTAAGTTTTTGTTGTTGTTTTTTGCAGCTATTGTAAAAGAGGTTGAGTTCTTGGTTTGATTCTCAGCTTAATCGCTGTTGGTGTATAGGAGAGCTACTGATTTATATACATTAATTTTGTATCTAGAAACTGCTGAATTATTTTACCAGTTCTAGAAGCTTTCTGGAGGAGTCTTTATGGTTTTCTAAGTAAACAATCATATCATCAGCAAACAGCAACAGTTTGACTTTCTCTTTGTCGATTTGGATGCCCTTTATTTCTTTCTCTTGTCTGATTGCTCTGGCTAGGACTTCTAGTACCATGTTGAAGAGAAATGGTGAGAGTAGGCATCCTTATCTTGTTTCAGCTATCAAAGAGAATGCTTTCCATTTTTCCCCATTTAGTATTATGTTGGCTGTGGGTTTGTCATAGATTGCTTTTATTACATTGAGGTATGTTTCTTGTATGCTGATTTTGCTGAGAGTTTTAATCATAAAGAGATGCTGGATTTTGTCAAATGCTTTTTCTGCATCTATTGAGATGAGAATGTGATTTTTGTTTTTAATTCTGTTTATGTGGTGTATTACATTTGTTGACTTGCATGTGTTAAATCATCCCTGCATCCCTGGTATGAAATTCACCTGATCATGGTGGATTATCTTTTTGATATGTTGTTGGATTCGGTTAGCTAGTGTAGTATTTTGTTAAAGACTTTTGCTTCCATGTTCAACAGGGATATTGGTCTATAGTTTTCTTTTTTGGTTATGTTTTCTCCCGGCTTTGGTATTAGGGTGATACTGGCTTCATAGAATGATTTAGGGAGGAATCCCTCTTTCTGTATCTTGTGGAATAGTGTCAATGAGATTGGTACCAATTCTTCTTTGAATTTCTGATAGAATTCAGCTGTGAATCCCTCTGATTCTGAACTTCTATTTTGTTAGCAATTTTTAATTACCATTTCAATTTTGCTGCTTGTTGCTGGTCTGTTTAGAGTTTCTATTTCTTTCTGGATTAATCTAAGAGGGCTGTATATTTCCAGAAATTTATCCATCTCCTTTAGGTTTTCTAGTTTGTTCATGTAAAGGTGTTTATAACAGCCTTGAACGATCTTTTGTATTTCTGTGGTATCAGTTGTAATAGCTTTTATTTTGTTTCTAATTGAGTTTATTTGGATCTTCTCTCTTCTTTCCTTGGTTAATCTCACTAATGGTCTATCAATTTTATTTATCTTTTCAAAGAACCAGCTTTTTGTTTCATAATTCTCTTGTATTTTTTAAATTTTAATTTCATTTAGTTCTGCTCTGATCTTGGTTATTTCTTATGCTAGGTTTGGGTTTGTTTTGTTCTTGTTTCTCTAGTTCCTTGAAGTATGTCCTTAGATTTTCTATTTGTGCTCCTTCAGACTTTTTGATGTAGACATTTAAGGCTATGAACTTTCCTGTTAGCATCGCCTTTGCTGTATTCCAGAGGTTTTGATAGGTTATGTCACTATTATCATTCAGTTCAAAGAATTTTTAAATTTTCATCTTGATTTTATTGTTTATTCAACATTCATTCAGGAACAGGTTAGTTAATTTCCATGTATTTGCATCAAACCTTTTTTGGAATTTATTTCCAATTTTATCTACTGTGGTGTGAGAGATTACTTGCTATTACTTTAATGTTCTTAAATTTGTTGAGATTTGTTTTATGGCCTATCATATGTTCTATCTTGGAGAATGTTCCATATGCTGATGCATAGAATGTATATTCTGTAGTTATTGGGTAGAATGTTCTGTAAATATATTAAATCCATTTGTTCTAGGATATAGTTTAAATCCATTGTTACTTTTTTTATGTACAAAATATGCCTTATCCTGCAAACTAGAATCGTATGACACATTTGGTTAGAATATAAATATGACAAATCCATTGTTTCTTTGTTGACTGTCTGTCTTGATGACCCATCTAGTGCTGTTAGTGGAGTATTGAAGTCCCCCATTATTACTGTGTTGCTGTCTGTCTCATTTCTTAGGTCTATTAGTAATTGTTTTATAAATTTGGAAACTCCAGTGTTAGATGCATATATATTTAGGGTTGTGATATTTTCCTGGACAAGTCCTTTTATCATTATATAATACCCCTCTTTGTCTTTTTTAACTGATATTGCTTTAAAGTTTGTTTAGTCTGCTGTAAGAATAGCTACTCCTGCTCAGTTTTGTTGTCCATTTTCATGGAATATATTTTTCTACCCCTTACCTTATGTGAGTCCTTATGTGGTGAGTCTCCTGAAGGCAGCAGATACTTGGTTGATGAATTCTTATCCATTCTGCCATTCTGTATCTTTTAAGTGGAGCATGTAGGTCATTTGCATTCAACATTGGCATTGAGATGTGAGATACCTTTCTATTCATCACGCTATGTGTTGTCTGAATACCATGTGTGGTTATTTATTTATTTATTGTTTTATAGGTCCTGTGAACTTTATGCTTTAAGGATGTTCTATTTTGGTATATTTTGAAGATTTGTTTCAAGATTTAGTGCTCCTTTTAGCTGTTCTTGTAGTGCTGGCTTGGTAGTGGTGAATTCTCAAAGCATTTGTTTGTCTGAAAAAGACTGTATCTTTCCTTTATTTGTGGAGATTAGTTTTGCTGTACTAATTTGTACAAATAATTTGTATAAAATTCTTGGCTGATAATTGTTTAGTTTAGGGAGGCTAAAGATAGGGCCCCAGTTCCTTCTAGCTCATAGGGTTTCTGCTGAGAAATATGCTGTTAATCTCATAGGTTTTCTTTTATAGGTTACCTGATACTTTTGCCTCACAGCTCTTAAGATTCTTTTCTTCATCTTAACTGTGGATTACCTGATGACTGTGTGCCTAGGTGATGACCATTCTGCAATAAATTTCCTAGGTGGTCCTTGAGCTTCTTGTATTTAAATGTCTGGATCTCTAACAAGGCCAGGGAAGTTTTCCTCAATTATTCCCTCAAATATGTTTTCCAAACGTTTAGATCTCAGTGGCAGCAGGGCTGAGATCTTGCCCCAGGCTATAAGCCTCACCACTGAGAAAGCAAGCAAGCTCTCAGACCTCACCCTTCCCCACCTGCCCAGACCATCAGCTGTGTTTTCTGCACTCCTATCTGTACTTCCCATTTGCTCCCCACTGGATTCTGCTCAGAAAAATTCATGCTCAGTTAAAATTATTACAAAGTTCAACTAGGAGTTTCCTTCACCCCGTGGCCCCTCCCCAGTTCCACTGGCTGCCTTCCCCAAGAACCCCTGTGAGATAAGGCCAGAAATGGCTTCCTTGGGCTCAAGCTGGGGACTAGAAGTGCCTACAGGGTTCTTCCCGCTGCTTGTTCTATTTTTTATTTTGCTTGACTCCCTAAATCCATTTTCAGCTCTCGGTAACGTTAAGTCCTTCTCCTGTGATCTGGATTTTCAGGTTCCCCTGGAGTATCTGCCGCCTTCAGGAGACTCACTTAGAGAGAGAATGTGTGCTCAAAAGCAGACTTTTTCCCCTCTCACACTTTAGGAACTCACCGTTTTCAGCTTGACCAATCTTTTTTATTAAAAAATAATAATAATAACTGTGATAGTATTAGGACTGAGTTGAAAAGACTCTGAAGAGAAAGAGGAGAAGAGTCTCTTCTTTCTTCAACTTAGCTTGGTAACTAACATTAGTAAGGATGCAGACCACCAAGAATCTTCACTGGCATGAGGATCTGGCTTCAAGTTAATAACAGCATGGAACCCCAAGGGCTAGAAAAATTATCTTTTACTAAGGCAGGACTTCATTATTCAAGGATCAAGGTCCTAATTTTTGAATATATTTTTTTTATTGATTCATTCAACAAATACTTATTGGCTGGGCGCGGTGGCTCAAGCCTGTAATCCCAGCACTTTGGAAGGCCGAGGCAGGTGGATCATGAGGTCAAGCAATCGAGACCATCCTGGTCAACATGGTGAAACCCCATCTCTACTAAAAATACAAAAAATTAGCTGGGCATTGTGATGCATGCCTGTAATCCCAGCTACTCAGGAGGCTGAGGCAGGAGAATTGCCTGAACCCAGGAGGCGGAGGTTGTGGTGAGCCGAGATCACACCATTGCACTCCAGCCTGGGTAACAAGAGCGAAACTCCATCTCAAAAAAAAAAAAAAAAAAATATATATATATATATTTATTAAATGCCAAAAATATGTCAGCATTGTATTAATACTACTTACTGAATCTACTTGGCAAATGTTTTTACTATAGCTGGGTAATGTATTTACTAGAAACTAAGAATTATTAGGGGTGCAAGGGCATCTAACCTCAGAGGAGCTTATGGTCTTGGGAAAATATGAGAGAACTAGGAAATGTAGGGAATCAGGATCTTCTAGGCTAAATGATAAATAGCACTGAAGTTGGATAAGGAAACAACAAGCAAACTGAATATTGTCTATTATTGCATGTACTCTCTAACCTAGGGGTTCTCAAACTTTTTGGTCTCAAAAATTCTTTATGTGGCTAGGCACAGTGGCTCATGTCTGTAATCCTCCCACTTTGGGAGGCCAAGATGGGAGGATTTCTTGAACCCAGGAGTTTGAGACCAGCCTAAGCAACATAGAGAGATACCATTGTTAAAAATCAATCAATCAATCAATATTTTTTTAAACTTCATGCTGCTTTTGTAGGTATCTATTAATATTTATTATATTAGAAACTAAACTGTATTTAATAATACTTATATTAATTCATTTTAAAAATGACAATATGCCTTCAGGGATGTGGCAGGGCCTTTGTCTCCTTGTACCCACAAACTGAGCTTAGTTTCACTCTTCACTGCTCTGTGCGCTCCACTCAGGGAGGCCCAGGTGACTCTGCCACAGCCACTGTCTTCTGTGACCTGCAGGAATTAGGAGATCCATAGGGAAGATGCCAGGGTACTCAGAAGCTAGGAGATGGGTTAATGGGGACTAAGGATCAAAGAGTCAGAATCAATTTCTTTTCCAAGATGGATGACTAGATGCAGCCTCAATTTTTTGGAATAGTTTCAGTAGGAATAGTACCAGCTCTTCTTTGTACATCTGGTAGAATTCAGCTGTGAATTCCTCTGATCCTGGACTTCTTTTTGGTAGGTTGGTAGGCTATTTACTGATTCAATTTCAGAGCTCATTATTTGTCTGTTCAGGGAATCAATTTCTTCCTGGTTCAGTTTTGGGAGGATATGTGTTTTCAGGAATTTCCATCTCTAGGTTTCTAGTTTGTATGCATAGACATGTTTATAGTTTCTAATGGTTGTTTTTATTTCTTTGGGGTCAGTGATAACACCCCCTTTTGTCATTTCTGATTATGTTTATTTGGATCATCTTTCCCTTCTTTATTAGTCTAGCCAGTGGCCTTTTTAATTAAAAAAAAACTCCTGGTTTTGTTGATGTTTTGAATGGTTTTTAGAGTCTCAGTTTCCTTCAGTGCAGCTCTGATTTTGGTTATTTCTTATCTTCTGCTAGGTTTGGGGTCGACTTGCTGTTGCTTCTCTAATTCTTTCCGTTGTAATGTTAAGTTGTTAATTTAAGATCTTTCTAACCTTTTTATGTGGGTGGTTAGTGCTATGAATTTCCCTCTTAACACTACCTTAGCTGTGTTCTAGAGATTCTGGTATGTTGCATCTTTATTCTTATTAGTTTCAAAGAACCTACTGATTTCTGTCTTTATTTCATTATTTATGCAAAAGTCATTCAGGAGCATGTTGTCTAGTTTCCACATAATTGTATGGTTTAAGCAATTTTCTTATTCTTGACCTCCATTTTTATTGCACTGTTGTTTGGTATTTCATTTCTTTTTTATTTGCTGAGAATTGTTTTATGTCCAATTATGTGGTCAATTTTAGAGTATGTGCCATGTGGCAATGAGAAGAATGCATATTATGTTGTTTTGGGGTAGAGAGTTCTGTAGAAGTCTATCAGATCAATTTGGTTAGTATTGAGTTCAGTTCCTGAATATCTTTGATAATTTTCTGCCTCAGTGATCTAATTCTGTCAGTGGAGTGTTGCAGTCTCCCATTATTATTGTGTAGGAATCTAAATATCTTTGTAGGTCTCTAAGAAATTCCTTTATGAGTCTGGGCACTCCTGTGTTGGGTGCATATATATTTAGAATAGGTACATCTTCTTGTTGAATTAAACCCTTGACCATTATGTAATGCCCTTCTTTGTCTTATTTGATCTTTGTTGATTTAAAGTCCATTTTATCTGAAATTAGAATTGCAACCCCTGCATTTTCCTGATTTCCATTTGCTTGGTAGATTTTTCTCCATCTCTTTGTTTTGAGCCTGTGGGTATCATTACATTTGATATAGGTCTCTTGAAGATAGCATACCATTGGGTCTTGCTTTATTATCCAGCTTGCCACTCCGTGCCTTGTAAGTGGGCCATTTAGCCCATTTACATTCAGGATTATTACTGATATGTGTGGATTTCATTCTGTCATTGTGTTAGCTGGTTATTATGCTGGCCTGTTTGAAAAACTACATTTATTAATATCACTATCAATCTTATTAAAATAATATTTACATGTTGGGAAACTATCAAGTCACAATAAGGTTTCCAAAATTCACATTGTTGTTTTAAATCTTGACCTCAACCATTAAAACATCTGTTATTGGGGTATTTCCTTAAAATTACAGGATTACTTTGATCATTTTCAAGAAGGTGTCTGGCAGATAGCCAACTCTGAAAAACTATATTTTGCCCATTAGTCATTTTCTCCAGTGAAAATGGTATCCCATGAAAATGCAGCTAGTTTTTTTGCAACTCAAACAATCATACAAGTTCTTTTTCTCAATAAATTGTCATAGTTCAGTATAAGTGTTTCATGCACTCAAGGGTTAATATTTAATAAAAATTAATAACTTTTGCTGCTTTACCAAGGACATCCTTAAGTGAAATTTATATCTTACTACAAGTATGTACAGTGAAGAACACAATGACTGCTAGTACACTTAGTTGTCACTGCCTTCATTCATGTAAAGATGCCAGCAGTTTTGCCCAACATTGCTTTTGCACAATCAGCCTAAATGTCAACACAGTGAAAATGGCAAAGAATATTGGGTAAATATAGAGGTCCATGGACCATACTTTGAGAATGCTTGCTCTAACACATCTCAGCCTTGCACTCAGTGCAAGAGAACTAGGTCTGAAAGGAGGAGGACTGATGTATAGGATGGAGCTAACTTCAAACAAACACAACATCACTCACCATAATGCTCCAAATATTTTTAACAGCTAACAGTTAATGAAATAAAAGTAAGTATTCAATTAATTTGAATGAATATATACTTAAAGCTTGAATCTTTTTCCCTTTAGTACATGCTCCTTTGGATTGAAAAAAATAATAAAAATTCTAGAATAATGCATTAAAAATCATTGCAATTCTGTTCACTAAATTTCAATTTAAAGATTTTACATAATTATTTAAGTCTAAGTAGCTTCAACTCTCAATCTATATGCTGAGTTTTCTTACAGAAAAGGAAAAGGTTGACCTAGATATCTTGATGGATGCAGCAAAAGCTTTTACAGGTGAGTGAGAATTTATATAAGACATAATAAAATTGAGATATTGATGCTTTGTAGATAACTACCTTTTAAAGCAGTAGTTCACCCCTCCAGAAATCATTGATAAGTTCATTCTGCTCTTTTACCACTTATTGATAATTTTGTCTTGTTGACAACATTTTGGAATATTAAAGATTTAGAAAAAGTGTGAGTACTCTTAAAAAGAGGTATTAACTTGTCTAATGTGTAGGCCAATCATGTGTTCATTTCACTACTGTTTAAAAATATCAGCGAACACAGTGAATCTCAGTGTGAAGTTTTCACATCAGGAAATGTGATCACTATGAACAATTAGTCCCATAATTCAGGCCATGAAGTAGAAACAGAAATATTACTTGCAGGTAGAATTACATAGATTCTATATACCATCTGTCTTAATCCATGCATGCTGCTATAACAAAATATCACAAACTGGGTGATTCAAAAGTGATAGAAATTTCTTTCTCAAAGTTCTAGAGGCTGAGAAGTCCAAGATAGATCAAGGCAAGTTTGATGTCTAGTGAGGGTCACTCTGTGCTTCAAGATGGTGCCTTAAACATTGTGTCCTCACATGAGGAAGGGCAGACAGACAAAAAAAAAAAGGGACTGATTGCTATATGAGACATCTCTTATAAGGGCCTTAATCCAATTCACAAGGGAGGAATCCCTACAACCTAACCACTTCCTAAAGACCCTACCTCTTAATACTATTGCATCTGAGGTTAAGTTTCAACATGAATTTTGGAAGGGACACAAACACTTAAGCCATAGCACGTCATAAGTCACTGAGCCACCCCCCTGTTGCTCCATGTTATCCTGATGCATACCCAGATGAGAAGTGTTATCTGCTTATTTGAAATAAAGAATGCTTTCAGTTACTGAATCTCAAAATAACTCTATGTAAGGTGAAGTCAACTCATATATGTATACCTCATTGTGCAGTTAGAAATAGTGCTGCACTGGATTACATTTTTTATAACTTGGAATAATTAAATTTCTTAATATTTTCTTCTGAAACAATTCTCATCTATTCAAAGGAGAAAAGGTTGAAGCTAATAACTTAAAAAATGTGCTGAGCAACATGGGGATTGAGCTAACGGAAAAAGAACACTCAATGCTGTTAAACAGTCTGCCAATCTGTGGTGAGTATTTAGCATACTGTCATGGTGCTTGTTCATGGAGCTGTGGTAGCATAGTCTTCTGGGCAAGAACTGTGAGAAAGCCTCTGTATTCTAGAGAACCCTGAAGAGGATTCTCTAGAGAGACAGAACTAGTGGGAGGGAGGGAGGAATAGATGGTTGGATAGCTAGATAGATAGATAGATATAGATAGATAGATAGATAGATAGATAGATAGATAGATAGACAGACAGATAGATAGATAATGTTTATTAAGGAGTATTAACTCACAGGATCACAGGTTCCACAATAGGCCATCTGCAAGCTGAGTAGCAAGGAGAGCCAGTCCGAGTTCCAAAACTGAAGGACTTGAAGTCCAACATACAAGAGCAGGAAGCATCCAGCAGGGGAGAAAGTTGTAGGCTGGGAGGTTAGGCCAGTCTCGTCTTTTCACATTTTTCTGCCTGCTTTGTATTCTAGCCATGCTGGCATCTGATTAGATGGTGCCCACCCAGATTAAGGGTTGGTCTGCCTTTCCCAACTTGCTGATTCAAATGTTAATCTCCTTTGTCAACACCCTCACAGACACACTCAGGATCAATACTTTGCATCCTTCAATCCAATCAAGTTGACACTCAGTATTAACTATGACACCCCTTAAGAAATGAAATTCTGGCATAAGAAACTCTGTTTTTGGCTGGGCGTGGTAGCTCACACCTGTAATCCCAACACTTTGGGAGGCTGAGGTGAGCAGATCAGCTGAGGTCAGGAGTTCAAGACCATCCTGGCCAACATGGGAGACCCTGTCTCTACTAAAAATGCAAAACGAATAAGCTGGGCATGGTGACAGATGCCTGTAGTCCCTACTCTGGAGGATGAAGCATGAGAATCACTTGAACTTGGGAGGCAGAGGTTGCAGCAAGCCAAGATAGTGCCACTGCACTTCAACCTGGGCAACACAGTGAGACTCCATCTAAAAAAGAAAAGAAAAGAAAGAACCCCTGTTCTTGTCACTTATGTTTTAATCTGGAAATGAGAAAGTTCTCTCTTTTGCATTCAGCCAGTAGGCCTCTGCTAAATATTTAATAGCAACACACTAAAGTCTTCTGTAGTCAGGTAGCATCCCCCCAATGCACCGAACATCTTCAGTCAGCCTTTCTATTACCCCACACTCCAGCAATTAAAAGGGAAAACCACATGAAAGCAGGGGGCCTCCAGGACTGTGTGCTTATACTGTCAGTATCCAATCTGGTCAGTAGCACAGACAGCCCCTCAAAGGTTCCCCATCCTGGGCACTTGGACAGAACTACCCATAAAGACCCCGGAGGTCAGCCTGTGCTTCAGAACTGTGCTTCCTGCCCAGTTCTAGAGACCCCAGTAGATATCCTTTCCCCTATCACTCCTTGCCCCAATTTTCCCCAGGCAAGAGTAAGGTTGCACATTACCAAAGGGGATAGTGCCCTTGGAGCAGAAGTTGCACCCTGGGCAGCAAATGTTCAGTATCCATTTGAATTCATCCCATATATATATTTTTTTTTTTTTTGAGACAGAATCTCACTCTGTCTCCCCAGGCTGAAGTGCAGTGGCACAATCTCGGCTCACTACAACCTCCATCTCCTGGGTTCAAGTGATTCTTCTGCCTCTGCCTCCTGAGTGGCTGGGATTACAGGTGCCCAGCACCATGCCTAGCTAATTTTTTGTATTTTTAGAAGAGGCAGAGTTTCACCATGTTGGCCAGGCTGGTCTCGAATTCCTGATCTCAAGTAATCTGCCCACGTCAGCCTCCCAAAGTGCTAGGATTGCAGGTGTGAGCCACCATGCTCGGCCGGCCCACCCCACATATTCTTAAGGCTGCGGTTACTCATTTCGTCCAGCACTTCCTCCAGATTGTTCTCTCAAAGGTCCAGTTATGAGAGTTGTAGCCTTCTTAGGAGTTTGGTTCTGAGAGAACAGGGATGAGAATGCAGATGGATTGTAACAGAGACTACTACAGACACATGCCAGGCATTGAGGAGTTTTTCAATACTACAGATACTCCTGCCACAGGATGGAGACCTCTGGAACAGACAGGTTGCATAAGCCTGAGTTGTGGTGGTGCATGAGGCCTCTGTTCTCCATTCTAATTAAATTTTATCTCCGTTTATGGAAGGAGTTTGTGCAGAAAACAAAAATATTTTTAATTTTGTATTTAAATATTTTTTATCACTGTTCAAGTCAATAACTATTTTTCATATCATCCCTTTAGGATCTTCAATTAGGGAATAAAGATAGGAACACCTCATGGGCCTAGAGCATAGGCAGGGAAAGGAGAGAAGGGCAAAGTGCAAGAAAAGAAGAAGAAAGGAAGAAGAAGGAGAGAAGAAAGAAGGAAGAAGAAGAGGAGGAGGAAGAAGAAAGAAGAGGAAGAGGAGGAGGAAGAAAGAAGAAAGGAGGAGGAAGAAGAAGAAGAAGAAGAACAAGGGGAAGGGGGAAGAGGGAAGAGGGAAGAGGGAAGAAGTAGCTGGCCACAGTGGCTTATGCCTATAATCCCAACACTTTGTGAGACCAAGGCGGGTGAATCACTTGAGGCCATAAGTTCGAGACCAGCCTGGCCAAGATGGTGAAACCCCGTCTCTACTAAAAATACAAAAATTAAGCAGGCCCAGTGGTGCACACCTGTAATTCTAGCTGCACAGGAGGCTGAGGCAGAAGAGAGATCACTTGAATCCGGGAGATGGAGGTTACCATGAGCTGAGATAGCACCACTGCACTCCAGCCTGGGTGACATAACAAGACTCTGTCTCAAAAAAAAAAAAAAAAAAAAGCAACACCTCTGTGTGTGCGTGTGTGTTTAAGGCACATCAACTACTGCTATGTGTTTCAGCTAGGGGATAGATTGACCACATTAAGAGCAGTTCTTATCTTTTTTATTATTCAAGGGTGAAATAGAGTAAATTTCTAGGTGAATCATGTCTTATAAAATTAAAGAGTTTCTTATACTTTTTTTAACTTTAATTTTACCATATCTTACAGATGGAAAGGTGTATAAGAAAAAATTACTGGATAGTGTGAAGCCTCTCAAAGGTAAGAGTATGAGAACAGCGGCTAAAATGTAATTGTGCTTTACATTTGCTTTTTTGAATTTCTTACTGATTAGAATCTCGCTGTTCCACTTGTTATATGTAAATTTTTGGTGCTGCAAAAGAAGTAGCACTCGAATATTAATTTTCTCAATAAGACAATTTACTTCTATAGAGGGTGCGTCTCACAGATGGAGCAATGGCGAACGCACACTTGAACAGGGGAGGAGAAGAAATTCTTATCCCTGATGCAGTCCCTGCTGCTGTGTTGTTCACCTGTTAGCTACGGTTAGACTGCACAGTCTAAGCTAATTCCAATTGGCTATTTTAAAGAGAACAGGAGTATGAGCCAGAGTGGCAGAGTGAGTGGTTTGGTGGGAAAAACGATTATGGCAGAGCAGGTGATGGGGGGCGGGGGGAGGTGACTCAGGTCAAAGCAGGTGACGGGGATGAGTCAGGATGGAGCAGATGACTGGAGCAGGTGATCAGGATGAGTCAGGACAGAGCAGGGGACAGGCAAACAGATGGGAACTGCTGATTAGAACTGGCAGGGAAGTTGTTTACCAAAACTAGAGGCAAGGGGGCACAGAGAACCAGGAAGTTAAACTTTAAAATGGAGAATTAAAGAATAAGAGAGCCGAACATACTGACATAATGATTCTTTGAAGAGAAACTTGGAGTTCACTCTATCTAACATGCTATTTACTGATTCTGAATTTATGCCTCATAACCTACCATCCTTCTTTTGGTATAGCTATGTTTGAGCTGTTAGTAATATGTCACTGTAGCAAGTTTGAAATTCTGCTTTCAGCATGCACGATGGCTCACATCCCTAATCTAAGCACTTTAAGAAGCCAAGGATAAAAGATCACTTGAACCCAGGAGTTCAAGACCAGCCTGGGCAACTTAGAGAGACCCTATCTCTTCACAAAATAAGAAAATTAGCTGGCCTGCTGGCAGGCATTGTGGCCCCAACTACTTCGGAGGCTGAGGCAGGAGGATCACTTGAGCCTAGGAAGTCAAGGCTGCAATGAGCCAGGATCATGCCACGGCACTCCAGCATGGTGACAGAGCAAAATCCTATCTTAAAAATAAAAAAGAAATTCTGCTTTCTTTTAGGTTTGTTATCTGATCACAATTCATCGAATTTGTCTAATTCTTTTTCATCCATGATTATTTCAATTGAAAATTATAGTTCAGTGTTGAGGGAGCATTTTCTCTTCTCAATTCTGACACTATCTGAGTGGTCAATATATTATTTCACTCTCCACTTAAAATAAATACATCTTTAAAGCTGGCATCTTCTGGGCCAGGCACGGTGGCTCAGGCCTGTAATCCCAGCACTTTGGGAGGCCAAGGCAGGGATCACCTGAGGTCAGGAGTTTGAGACTAGGCTAGCCAACATGGTGAAAACCGTCTCTACTAAAAATATAAGAATTAGCTGAGTGTGGTGGCATGCACCTGTAATCCCAGCTACTTGGGAAGCCAAGGCAGGAGAACCACTTGAACCTGGGAGGCAGAGGTGGCAGTAAGCCGAGATCCTGCCATTACATTCCAGGACAACAAGAGTGAGACTCTGTCTCAAAAATAATAATAATAACAATAAAGCTAGCATTTTCCACTTCTTGAAATTACTTGTATTTCTTATTCCATTCTCTTAATTCCTAAGGAAAAAAAGTCAATGTCAGTAATCTGGAAACTCTTCTGAAGAACATGGAAATTGAAGTTGGGAAAGAGGAATATGAGGACCTACTGAACCATCTGCCAGCTGATGGTAAGTGTTTCAGATCCCACTGTACCTAGGAGAAACATAGGAAATACTTCAAACATACCTAAAAACAGAGAACAATGTAACAAACACTGTGTGCCCACTGGCCAGAGTTAACAAATGTTACTATTTTACCATACTTGCTTCATACATTCTCCTACCTCCTTTCCTCTTTCCCTCCTTCCCTTACTTCCCTTACTTACTTCCCAAGTAAACCTTTTTATAATAAGACAAAATTTCATTAATAACTCAATAAGACCATTTTAACTAGACAAAACTGTCAGAGGCAAAACTAGAATAATTCTTTAGGAAGAAATTGCTAAGGAATGAGTCTCTGACTAAGATTTCCTTATTAGATGTCTCTTCCCCTTGAAAAACAAGCTTCCATTGGAAAGCAAGACAGCACATCTTTCAGCAGAGCCAGAACATGCCAACCCAAAATAAATAGTTTTCCTCCCCTAATCCAGGGTTTCTGTTCTCAGCTAGTGATGGGCGGTGAACTCAAGTAGGCCACTGCTGTCAGCAAACATCTTCCATGCTACCTTCACCTGTAGCTGGCCCTAACGTAGAAAACAGTTTTGGCCTAATTTGTAGTTTTTGTTTTGTTTTGTTGAGACTGAGTCTTGCTCTGCTGACATGTAGTGGTACAATCTTGGCTCACTGCAGCCTCCACCTCCCAGGTTCAAGCAATTCTCATGCCTCAGTCTCCTGAGTAGCTGGGATTACAGGCATACACTACTACGCCCAGCTAATCTTTTTTTTTTTTTTGAGACAGAGTCTCACTCTGTCACCCAGGCTGGAGTGCAATGGTGGTACGATCTCAGCTCACTGCAACCTCTGCCTTTCAGGTTCAAGTGATTAGCCTGCCTCAGCCTCCCAAGTAGCTGGAATTACAGGTGTGTGCCACCATGCCAGACTAATTTTTGTTATTTTTATTAGAGATAGGATTTCACCATGTTGGCCAGGCTGGTCTCATACTCCTGACCTCAAGTGATCTGTCTGCCTTGCCCTCCCAAAGTGCTGGGATTACAGGCGTGAGCCACCACGCCCAGCCGTAATTTGTAGTTTAAAACCTCACACTCCCTGGGCTTAACAACATTGATAATTATCCATAATTTTGTCTGGCCCTTCCTCCTATCATGAAAAAAATTACCATAAATTACTGTTTAATTGCAATATTGTCCCTACACATTTACTAGGAATGCTAAAAAATGCATCCTGATGGAAAATATTGTTACTGATGAGGTATATTTTGGAATCCTTTATTTTTTTATGACAAATTTTTTTCTCATCCAACAGTGTGACTGTTTCTATACCACTGAATTCTTTCATTTGTTTAGCACATACTATACACAAAACACTGAACTAGAGAGTGGAAAATTTTAACCCAGTAGTAGTATAATAAAATTAAGGCATAATTTCTGCACTCAACTAGGTTACAGTCTTGAGGGGTAGGGGTGGGGAACATAAGCAAGACTGGAGTTGAAGAAGATAGCATTCTTTCAGGGTTTAACGGTTCACTGTTTATGTACATAAGTGACTTCTAGGTTTCAAATTCAATCATGTCTATTAAGACATGCTCCCCTTATGGGTCTGAAGAAGAGAAAGATCTACAGAAGGGATTACTATTAAACTTGCATCACCTCAATGTTAAGAGTCATTTCATACTTTATAGAAAGTGGTATTAGATATTCACTTTAAACTTACAGCTTGATCTTTTTCTATCCTCTGTTTCTTCTTCACTTTGAGTTCAAAGAATTACCAGAGAAAAATAGGAAAAATAGCTGTATTCCAACCCTTTAATTACAACTTAAATTTGCATGTCAGTTATCTAAGATTTGGTCTCTATGTCTGACTTGTCTTTTCTTCCAGAAAATGAAATGGTTGATGTGAATATGGTGATGGATGAAGCAAAAGCTTTTACAGGTGAGTCAGAAGTCATGGTGAGGACATTCATTTTTAACTAAGCCCTTAATGCTCTATAGAGAAAAAATTTAAATGTTTTTGAACAGTAGTATTTGGCTGGACATGTTGGCTCACTGTTGTAACCCCAGAACTTTTAGAGGCTGAGGCAGGATGATCACTTGAGGCCAGGAGTTCAACACCAGCCTGGGCAACAAAGCAAAACTATATCTCTACAAAAAAAAAAAAGCGCAGGGGGGCATGGTGGCATGTGCCCATAGTCCCAGCTACTTGGGAGGCTGAGGTGGCTGAGCCCAGGAGTTTGAGGCCTCAGTGAGCTATGATTACCACTGCACTCCTGCCTGGGTGACAGAGCAAAAAACCTGTCTCATAAAAAATGTATTTAAACAGTAGCTTTCTCTTCAGGCTATCAGTGACATGCTAAATTGACACCCCTACACATTTAATGGTTAACTGTTTTATTTATTTATTTATTTATTTATTTATTTATTTATTTATTTATTTTTTGAGACGGAGTTTTGCTCTTGTTACCCAGGCTGGAGTGCAATGGCGTGATCTCGGCTCACCGCAACCTCCGCCTCCTGGGTTCAGGCAATTCTCCTGCCTCAGCCTCCTGAGTAGCTGGGATTACAGGCACACGCCACCATGCCCAGCTAATTTTTGTATTTTTAGTAGAGACGGGGTTTCACCATGTTGACCAGGATGGTCTCGATCTTTTGACCTTGTGATCCACCCACCTCGGCCTCCCAAAGTGCTGATTACAGGCTTGAGCCACCATGCAGCCCAAATGTTTGTTTTATAATCTTACGCTTTGCTTTGGGATTTTTCCTGTAGAGACATACTACGTAAGGTTGTGAACAATAATGTTTTTCCACTTTATATTGTTTAAACAACCAAAATATAAGTCAGTTTCAAGTCTCAAGGTGAAAACTTATGCAAGCTAGCCAAGAAATATGCTTACCTGTCAAAAGACCCCATAATCCAGGTAATATGATAGTATTTGCCTTGTATCTGAATTATATGAGCTATTATTTCTCTTGAATTAAAAGTATAAATTCTCAACAGATTTTGTACTGTTCAGAAACAGAATTCATACTTTTAATGCAAGAGAAAGAAAAGAGAAGGAAAAGCTCATATGTCCTTGCATCCACATGTCCTTTGAATCTATGTAGTTTATCAGGTTTCATTCGGCCTCCTAAAGTGCTGGGTTTACAGGTGTGAGCCACCATGCCTGGCCAGTAATTTTTTCATAATTTGAAATCATTATTCTTTTCCTAAAATTCTTATTTGTTAACAATTCTCATCTTTTCAAAGGAGAGAAAGTTAGTGTCAGTAATCTGTGCAATGTGCTGAGGAAAATGGGGCTTGTACTCACTGATAAGGACCACAAGAAGCTGCTGAAAACTCTGCCAATTCGCAGTGAGTATTTAGCACATCCTTTGAAGCTTGGATTTAGGGGCTTGTGTGTGGGAACTCCTTAAATTATACATGTATATGTCCAGCAAAACTTCTTTAGAAAGCACAGTTCTCACACCAAAAGAAATCTTGGCCAGACTCGGTGGCTCATGCCTGTAATCCCATCACTTTGGGAGGCAGAAGTGGGACGATCACAAGGTCAGTCTGTCTCTCTTAAAAAAAAAAAAAAAAGAAAAGAAAGAAAAAGAAAAGAAAAGAAATCTTGTTGCCTGTTCTGTTGCTTATATTTTAATACTGAAAGCTAGCAACATCTCTCACTGGCGGTATCCCACCATCCAGGCTAAATTATCCTGTCACCCTGGGAGCACTTCCTAATCTCATCATGACCAATGAGAAGGAAACCAGGGAAGAAAGAGAAGGAAGAAAAAAGACAGAAACAGGGAAATAACTGTATTTAATTCAACCAATGGATAGATTTATAACAGGGAAAGCGTTCTTTATCTTTGTTTTCATTCTTACTTAGGTATAAAAGAGAAGAAACTTCCAAATAAATTGGAAGGTTTTTTTTCCCTGAAATTATGGATGCTATGTTGTCTTTATGCTGATTTCGTTAGTCTTCCCATCATTTAACCCATATTCTGAATTATGTCTTATCTTACAGCTAGTGGAAAGGTATATAAGAATAGATTGCTCAAAGGTGTGAAGGCCCTCAACGGTGAGTAGGAAGCATGGTGAAAGAACAAGTAAAAAAAATCTTGGCCAGGTGCAGTGGCTCATGCCTGTAATCCCAGCACTTTGGGAGGCTGAGGCGGGTGGATCATGAGGTCAAGAGATTGAGACCATCATAGTCAACATGGTCTCTACTAAAAATACAAAAATTAGCTGGGCATGGTGGTGCAGCCTGTAGTCCCAGCCACTCGGGAGGGTGAGGCAGGAAAATTGCTTGAACCTAGGAGGCAGAGGTTGCGGTGAGCCAAGATCGCGCTATTGCACTCCAGCCTGGGTAACAAGAGTGAAACTCCATCTAAAAAAAAAAAATTCTTATGTTTGGTATTTTCTTTTAAATGTTCCAACTTTACTTCCTGCCAATTTACTGATTCATTGTTAAGACAAAACTTATCTTCTTTGAATGTATTGGATTTTTGGGATATAAGTTAAAACATCATATCACTATAAGAAGTTTCTAACACTGTTTTCTGGCTAGCCTTATATAAATTAGTTGTTGTTTCAACCATGAGTCATTAGACCTGCCTACTCCTCTCTATTAACCTCTCAGGGAAAACCAAAGCAGAGACCCTGAATCAGTATTAAGAAAAATACCCTATCTTTCCATACTAACTCTATGTAAATAATTATTATTTCAATTGTCAATTAGAAAAAGATGTTTTAGAACACTAAAATATTATGAGAAAACTATGCAACTCTAACCACTTTAAAAGAAAAACTGACACAGGCTGGCACAGTGGCTCATGCCTGTAATCTCAGCACTTTGGGAGACCAAGGAAGGCAGATCACTTGAGGCCAGGAGTTTAAGACCAGACTGGACAACATAGTGAGACCCCATCTCTACAAAAAATGTTAAAATTACCTGGGCATGGTGACACACACCTATAGTCCTACCTACTCAAGAGACTAAGGCAGAACGATTGCTTGAGCCCAGGAGTTCAAGGCTGCATGCAGTAAGCTATGATCACAACACTGCACTCCATCCTGGGCTACAGAGAAAAACCCTGTTTCTAAACGAAAAAAAGAAATGGAAGTTCTCATATCTTCCACAAATCCCCTCCTCATAAAGATAAATACTGTTAACAATTCAGCAGTTATCTTTCTCAATTCTTTCCAACTTTTAACAGACATATCTAAATCTAGGGACACACACACAATTAATAGTTTCTTTGTATTCTTGTGCTTTACCCTCCAATTAGGGTTTCTGATGCATGACCATGATTAACACTTTTCACTCTTAAACATCAATACTCATATTCTTATTCCATGCCCTTCTTTCTTAAGGGCCAAAGGTCAAAATTAAAAAAATGGAGACATTTTTGGAAAACATGGGAATTAAAATCAAGGAAGAGGAACTTGAGGAACTCATGTCCCAACTACCAACTGAGGGTGAGTATTACAAATATCCCTATGTTCTTCACAGAAACATTAAGCCCCTCCATTAGAATGCTGAAATTAGCCTTTTTTCAAGTAAATGTAAAAATTTAATTCTGACTCATGATGAAATACCATCTTCAAAAATGTTTTTGAAAAGATATGTCACGGATTCCACTTGAAGCCTCAGTCATGCCTGGGAATGCCACACACTTGAGTTGAAAGAAAAATGAATCGGAGGGAACATTTAAGAGAAAACTTAAGAAAGTCAGAAGTCAAATGATAAATTGAAAATGAATAATTGCAAACCAAACGCTAATATCCCTAAGGTAGCAAAAGCCCTTGTACACTGATAAGAAACATACTATAATAGAAAAATAGGCAAATATACAAATAGGTAACTCATAGAAGAGGAAATATAATGTAAATATCCAATAGCATATGAAAAGATGTTTAACCTCACCAATAATCATGAAAATGCAAGATAAAACACAATACAACACTATGTTCACTCATTGGGCTGGCAAAACTTAACAAGATTGGTAATATTTAGTTTTTTTTTTTTTTCTTGTACTCATGCTAGGTGATACACATTTAAAGAGGCTAGGTGTGGTGGCTCACTCTTGTAATCTCAGCACTTTGGAAAGCCAAGGCGAGCTGCTTCCCAGCTAGTTTGAGATCATCTGAGGTTAGGAGTTTGAGACCAACCAGGCTAACATGGTGAAACCCTGTCTCTATTAAAAATACAAAAATTAGCTGGGTGTGGTGGCATGCGCCTGTAATCCCAGCTACTTGGGAGGCTGAGGCAGGAGAATTGCTTGAACCTGGGAGGCAGAGTTGTATTGAGTTGAAATGGTGCCACTACACTCTAGCCTGGGTAGCAGAGTGAGACTCCATCAAAAAAAAAAAAAAAAAGTTTAAAGACTACTTTGGCTGCCCCATGGAAAATGAGGGAAGAAGGAATTGGAGACAGGAATTGGAAATGGGTGGGGGAGTAAGTAGAGCTGCTGCTTATAGCTGGGGAGACTGTACATTGCTCACCTCTGGACTGTGGTATGAATGGCGTACCCTAGGATTGTTCAACATGATGGCCCTGAGGTCTGGGTACAAGATGATGGTAGCTTGGACTAGGACATGAGCAGATACGTGGAAGAGAAATTGATATATTCTGGATATATTTGGAAGCTGAGTTGATAGGACATGCTAATAATTTACCTGTAGAGAGGGAGAAGGGAATGAGAGCAACCTCAGATTACAGTGACCTGAGTGACAGGGTGGGGGTGCTCTTTACTGAGATAGGGAAGATTGGTGTGGGAGTAGCTGGTATGTAGGGAAAAATCTAAAGAATTTTTATTATTTAGTTCTTATGAAAATATTTAGTAATGGTAAATGGTAAAAATATGGTAATATTTACTTCTTATGAAAATATGAGGAAAGGGACTTACTGATAAATTTGCCATTGCTATATATACTTTTTAAAAAGTCAGCTGACAGTGTCTAACGGGGAAAAAGTTTTCTCTTTTCCCTGGTGAATCCAGCGTATACGCTCCTCTTGTAGTATATACTATTTCTTTGTGTTGGGTCCTGGTCCCTGTTTTGCCACAGACTTGCTGACAAATAATTTAACACCACTTAATCTTAGTTCCTTCATATGGAAAATGGGAGTTTAACTAAATGAGGCTCTATGATCACTTCTTGCTCTGAAATTAATATATATAATGCATGTAATACAGTCTAGACTAATCAGTAAATGTCTGATGATGGATGGTGGTGTGGTGGTGATGCTAATGGGGAAGATAGAAACGTTGTTGAAGAACAGGATGAAGAAGAAAATAAATTCTATTATCTATGAATCCACTTTTCCTGATATAAAAATATTTCTTAATAGAATACATATTTGGTTCTTAATTATTAATTTTATATAAATAAATAAGATAAGATGCAATTTAAAACCTCCTATAAGAAACAGCACTGGGCTGTCTTCCCTGTCTTCCTTCTCTCTACTCCTGTCCTTATTGTTCAGTATCTCTCATATAGATCAAGGGCTTTTGACTTGATGTCATAGACTCCTTTGGAAATCTGATGAATGGATCACTTCTGATTATAATGTTTTAAAATGTATAAAATAAAATAATAGGATTACAAAGAAACTATATTAAAATATAATGTATCAAAACATTAAAATATAAATTATTAGTACTTATTAAAACACTTATTCAACACTTTCTAGTAGCAGATCAAATTATTTTTTTTTAATTTTTTATTGGATTTTGGGTTTTGGGGTACATGAGCAGAGCATGCAAGACAGTTGCGTAGGTACACTCATGGCAGTGTGCTTTGCTTTCCTTCTCCCCTTCACCCACATTTGGCATTTCTCCCCAGGCTATCCCTCCCCACCTCCCCCTCCCACTGGCCCTCCCCTTTTCCCCCCAATAGACCCCAGTGTTTAGTACTCCCCTTTCTGTGTCCATGTGTTCTCATTTTTCATCACCCGCCTATGAGTGAGAATATGCGGTATTTCATTTTCTGTTCTTGTGTCAGTTTGCTGAGGATGATGTTCTCCAGATTCATCCATGTCCCTACAAACGACACAAACTCATCATTTCTGATTGCTGCATAATATTCCATGGTGCATATGTGCCACATTTTTCCAATCCAGTCTATTATCAATGGGCATTTGGGTTGATTCCAGGTCTTTGCTATTGTAAACAGTGCTGCAACGAACATTCGTTCGTGTGGTTTTTGTTTTTGGTTCTGTTTATGTGGTGAATTACATTGATAGACTTGCGTATGTTGAACCAGCCTTGCATCCCCAGGATGAATCCTACTTGATCATGATGAATAAGTTTCTTGATATTCTGTTGCAGTCAGCTTGCCAATATTTTATTGAAGATTTTTGCACCTATGTTCATCATGGATATTGGCCTGAAGTTTTCTTTTCTTGTTGGGTCTCTGCCGGGTTGTGGTATCAGAATGATGTTGGTCTCGTAAAATGATTTGGGAAGGATTCCCTCTTTTTGGATTGTTTGAAATAGTTTTAGAAGGAATGGTACCAGCTCCTCTTTGTGTGTCTGGTAGAATTCGGCTGTGAACCCGTCTGGACCTGGGCTTTTTTTGAGTGCTAGGCTCTTAATTGCTGCCTCGACTTCTGACCTTGTTATTGGTCTATTCATAGTTTCAGCTTCCTCCTGGTTTAGGCTTGGGAGGACACAGGAATCCAGGAATTTATCCATTTCTTCCAGGTTTACTAGTTTATGTGCATAGAGTTGTTTGTAATATTCTCTGATGATGGTTTGAATTTCTGTGGAATCTGTGGTGATTTCCCCTTTATCATTTTTTATTGCATCTATTTGGTTGTGCTCTCTTTTATTTTTAATCAATCTGGCTAGTGGTCTGTCTATTTTGTTGATCTTTTCAAAAAAACCAGCTCTTGGATTTATTGATTTTTTGAAGGGTTTTTCGTGTCTCAATCTCCTTCAGTTCAGCTCTGATCTTAGTTATTTCTTGTCTTCTGCTGGGTTTTGAGTTTTTTTGATCTTGCTCCTCTAGCTCCTTCAATTTTGACGATAGGGTGTCAATTTTGGATCTCTCCATTCTCCTCATATGGGCACTTATTGCTATATACTTTCCTCTAGAGACTGCTTTAAATGTGTCCCAGAGGTTCTGGTATGTTGTGTCTTCGTTCTCATTGGTTTCGAAGAACTTCTTTATTTCTGTCTTTATTTCATTGTTTACCCAGTCAACATTCAAAAGCCAGTTGTTCAGTTTCCATGAAGCTGTGCGGTTCTGGGTTGGTTTCTGTATTCTGAGTTCTAACTTGATTGCACTATGGTCTGAGAGGCTGTTTGTTATGATTTCAGTTGTTTTGCATTTGTTGAGCAGTGCTTTACTTCCAATTATGTAGTCAATTTTAGAGTAGGTGTGATGTGGTGCTGAGAAGAATGTGTATTCTGTGGATTTGGGGTGGAGAGTTCTGTAAATGTCTATCAGGTTTGCTTGCTCCAGGTCTGAGTTCAAGCCCTGGATATCCTTGTTGATTTTCTGTCTGGTTGATCTGTCTAATATTGACAGTGGAGTGTTAAAGTCTCCCACTATTATTGTGTGGGAGTCTAAGTCTCTTTGTAAGTCATTAAGAACTTGCCTTATGTATCTGGGTGCTCCTGTATTGGGTCCATATATGTTCAGGATCGTTAGCTCTTCTTGTTTTATCGATCCTTTTACCAGTATGTAATGGCCTTCTTTGTCTCTTTTGATCTTTGTTGCTTTAAAGTCTATTTTATCAGAGATGAGAATTGCAACTCCTGCTTTTTTTTGCTCTCCATTTGCTTGGTAAATCTTCCTCCATCCCTTTATTTTGAGCCTTTGTGTATCCATGCATGTGAGTTGGGTTTCCTGGTTACAGCACACTGATGGGTTTTGTATTTTTATCCAATTTGCCAGTCTGTGTCTTTTGATTGGTGCATTTAGTCCATTTACATTTAGGGTTAATATTGTTATGTGTGAATTTGATACTGCCATTTTGATGCTAAGTGGCTGTTTTGCCTGTTAGTTGTTGTAGATTCTTCATTATGTTGATGCTCTTTAGCATTTAGTGTGATTTTGGAATGGCTGGTACTGGTTGTTCCTTTCTATGTGTAGTGCCTCTTTTAGGAGCTCTTGTAAAGCAGGCCTGGTGGTGACAAAATCTCTGAGTACTTGCTTGTTCACAAAGGTTTTTATTTTTCCTTCACTTCTGAAGCTCCGTTTGGCCTGGATATGAAATTCTGGGTTGAAAGTTCTTTTCTTTAAGAATGTTGAATATTGGCCCCCACTCTCTTCTGGCTTGTAGTGTTTCTGCCGAGAGATCTGCTGTGAGTCTGATGGGCTTCCCTTTGTGGGTGACCCGACCTTTCCTCTGGCTGCCCTTAGTATTTTCTCCTTTATTTCAACCTTGTTGAATCTGACGAATTATGTGCCTTGGGGTTGCTCTTCTTGCGGAATATCTTTGTGGTGTTCTCTGTATTTCCTGCATTTGA